CAGTTTCTTAATCAATGATCTACATATATTTCTATCCTCAACTGACTCTTCGGTGAGGAAGAGACTTGCGTAGCAATCAGTGAAACCAATCAAACTTAAATGACAATGAGAAGAACTGAAGATTAAAATAGAAATTGTAATTTATATAAAAAAACCTTATTATGGACAATATAATACTGCTTATGGACAAGCTATTAAGCATAGTTTTATTCAATCGCTCCTATTTCCATTCAATCTACATCTTAGATTTTAGATATTTATAATATTGCCTCTCCAGTGGCGATAGGGGTTTCAAGAAGGCGATTTCAAGAGGTCAAGAAGTTCAAGAAGGTAGAATGGTAAGGTAGCTATGGGCAATAGGGAAAAGTCCGTCTTTATATTTTTTAATCGCCTATAATATTTGATCTTTAATCATATAAAATGGGCTGGATGGGCTGTTGCTCGATCAGGAACGCCGATGCTGAGGTTCGATTCTCCACGGGAGTAAACTCGTCCAAAAATCCGGGCGATGCTGGCGACTCACCTATATTTCTATCGCCAAAGGACTTCCTGGCGTATTGCTCAATGTGGCAAACCAGTGGAGTGATTTTAACCAGCAATGGTGAGGACTCTTAAAAAAAAAATCTTATGTTAATCATATTTTAAAATAGTTGGGAGAGGATTAGAATGGAATGAAAGTGGAGAATAGGGATTTTGGTTTGGGACTGCAGATATTTTTGAGCATTACTAGGTTTTTTTCTATTTTTTTGCACCATCACTGTCTGTCGGTCCCTGCCATCGACGCGCCATCCCCAATTCCTCATTTTTTACTCCTTTTTACTTAGAGTTTTTTTATTGTCTGAAAACGAACACCTTAAGCATGGTTATATTCAACCGCTTACGAATACCGATTACGGCATTACCGATCTGCCTGATTTGCCAAAAAGTTTAGCTATGAAAACATGGGTAATGTAGACAGAACTATCATTTGAACAATTCATACAGAAAATGGTGTTGAAAATGCCAAATTTTTAAAAGTCCGAGGATCTTTTTTTAAGACAACGAATGTTGAATGACCTGTTTTAAACTGCATTCGAAGAAAAAAGTGGTGGATGCTTACGCACTTCTTAAAATATTTCCTTATCCCTCATCCGGAGAAATGGCATAATTGATGAAGAACTGATTCTTCCTTCTATGAGTATGGTGAGTCGTGAATAGCCATAGTTAGTTTTGATACCGATATGGCACCGATACGATACTGTTTTGCGCAAGTTATTTGATGCTATAAGAAAATTTGTTTGAAAAAAAATACATAAAATTGAATCGATAAATTGAGCGCAAATGCTAAAATTTCACACGAGCGAGTTTTTTATGTGAGTTTTTAAAAATGACTCAGTTTTCATTACAGATTGATGAATTTGCTTTATGATGTGCTTTTGGCAAGCGGTCGACTAGAAAAAGTTGAAAAAATTGGCCTTGATTTATTATTCGCCAAAAATTTAATATTACTCTGATACTGGAGAAGAATCGATATTCTCGAAGTGAAAGGTTTTTTTCAGTGGAAAGGAAATTTTCCGAAGTGGTAACGTGGTACGCGATGGTGCTCGGCGATAGAGGGTCACTGCCACTTCATATTTGAAACATCAGATGCCAAATCTACTCGCTATCACGGTTCATCGACAACATTCGCTCGTGAGATCGCCTTATAACCCTTCGTTCTATCTTCTTTGCGATATGTATTACAAAAAAAAGTGTTCGAGGAGTCAAAACCTTTTACTACTTCAGTTAGAAATAGGTCGCTTGCATGATGCATGTTTAAATCGATTTTATGACTCTTTTGACTTAAAATTTTTGAATACAAAGATGATTCGTTGCGGAAGAATTCATTGATATTTCCTTATTTGACAACTGTATGGCAAGTTTAATGAAATAAAATTTCATCTCCAACGAAGCGAAACTCAGTTTGATCAAAATCAACAGCGTTCATCTTCGCTACTCTTTTATAAGCACAAATTAGGTTATAAATAATTTTTCCAATTTCCGATTTTTACTTCCGTAAAAAAAGTGACAGAAATATTCTGACTTATTGCCAGCATTCTAAGATTTTAATAACCGCTATTCTTAACAAGAAAATTCCTAATTGGATTTTGGATCCATTTTCAAATTGAAAAATAAGAGTTGCCACTACAAGAAGATTTAATAATGAAGAAATCAATAGGAAAATTTGCAAAAAATTATAAATTGTTAAAAGTTGACTTCCGATTACAAAAAGTATCGGTATCATATCGGTACCAAAACAATAACTATGGCTATGCACGAGTCACCATACTCATAGAAGGAAGAATCAGTTCTTCACCAATTATGCCATTTCTCCGGATGAGGGATAAGGAAATATTTTAAAAAGTGCGTAAGCACCCACCACTTTTTTCTTCGGATGCAGTTTAAAACATTAATATTCACCATTTTAAAAAAAGATCCTTGGACTTTTGAAACCTTGGACTTTCGAAAATATGGCACTTTCGCTAGTGACAAAATTCTGACCCTAACAAAATTAACCTCTGATTAAGCCATGCAGAGACAGTGAACGCTTTTCAAAAAAAAACGAAAATTAAAACTGATAGCTAAGCAATGTTATGTGAATTAATCGGAAGATGGTGCTATGGTGCCACTATTAAGTTAATTAATAGTATTAGGGAGAAATCAAGATATGGGGTTAAATTGCGTGGGCAAAATCAAAAATATTTTTTATTAGAATATTATTTGCATCATAATTTATTATGGAAATTATTCACAGAAAATTGGCCATTTTTTGCCATGAATTAATTATAAAATTTTTTAAATTTTAAGAATTGCTTAAAATCCATTACAAACGTATAATATTATTACAAATTAAATAAATAAATCTGCTACCTCGCATAAATAATATAATACTTGTATAAACAATTGCAATAATAATTAAATATTACACAATAACACTTTATTTTTTAAAAACAACACTTAAAGCAAATTTTTAATCTTTTGCTGAATTTTCCCAGAAAGCAAGTTATAAATAAAAATAAAGATTTTTACTAAAGTTACTAAATTTAAAAATTAAAAAAACAAGTATTTGATAAGGAAATTGCACAAATAAAAGGGTGGCGTTTGGTGCATTACAAATAATATTAAAAGATTAAGATTTAAATATAACAATCAAAGCTTCTCTAAGCCTAAAGCTTAGACCATAAACTTTTGTTTTTGTCTTGGCCGTAATGTATGGAAAAACAAAAAGTTTGCATAAATCATTTCATTGCACAATAAAAGGAACATATTGCAAAAAACCTTCGATGAGATGAAGCTAAGTGGCTAAATTTTCTATTTAACAATCTGAAAAACGTTTGTCAATATAAATAAAAATCAAATTTATCCGAAAAAAATATAAAAAGAAAGAAATGCAATGTTCATGAGCCGTGATACAGATCGGGATATAAAATTTCAGCCAGTTTCGTTATTTATTGCTAAAAATCGCCTTAAACTGCTAAGGGAATAAAGCACCACCTCATTCAACTTTGCTTTTGACATAGATAAATTAAAGTGAAATCCTGAGAATCTGCCACAAAATATAAAATATTAAATGGTAAGCAATCAGAGCTTACCATTTTTATCATGTTTATGTGAATTAATCACTATTAATATAAAACGGGATTTGTGAAATTTGTGATCAACTGATATGAACCATAAATACAGTTGGCCAAGCTTAAAATTTATTCAAATAAATATCTGGCAAACTGAAAGGCACCTCAAATTGAAGGATAATTGATAAGGATAATTAATTTGATCATCAAAAATTGTAAGAAATTTAAAAAAAAATCACCAAAAATAAAAATGAAACATAAGAAACTAAAATAAACAAAAAGTATAAACTTCAAATTTTTATTTAATTATGAAATTAAAATTTGCACTAAAAAAGAATCACAACGAATCACGGTTATAAATGAAAAACCTCAAACATGAACGTTGATAAAAATAGATTAAATGAAATCTTAATCGAATAGATTAAAAATGTTGACAAAGATAAAATCTATATTATTAAAATATTACAGGTTCAATAATATAAACGGGAATAAAATTACCATTAAAAATGAAATTCGAGTGCTGGTGAGGACTCTTATTTTTAATCACGAACTTTTTGCAAAACGGACGTCATTCTAACAACCAATACAGACAAATCGAAAATGACGAGAAATGATGAGAGAGGTGAGAATAATGAGGGTAATATTGTTACCAAACCAAAAAACCAAATTTATAAATTCACAGATAATATTCTCGCTCGATATATAAAAAACAAATCAAATCCTCCATTTTTAAATATGAATACAAGAAGACTCATGCAATACTAACAAAATTATAAAATTGAAAGGCATTTACTATTTACCATTAAAAAAATCCAAAATCAGTTTTACAAAAAATAGCGAAATTTCCAATGAAGCAGTAATTACTTAATAAATTTTAAAAAAATACAAAATTCTTTTTCATCATGATTTTCAAAAAGAAGTTCAAAGCTGCTGAATTCGACGCTGATGGCATAATAATGCTAAAATCGATGGAAATCCAAAAAATATCGTTTGTATGAACCATTTAAAAGCACATGAATATGAAAAATGCAGTCGATCACTAATGTGAAGAGAAAGAATTCCTGCGCTTATATTAAAGAATAATGTGACCGAAACAAGTGCTATTACGGCCATACGAATAGAAATTATTAGACTAGTGAAATATACCACCTGTAATAATAAAAATAAAAAGTTTACAAGAATTTTTAAAAAATCTATCAAAATAAATCCAAGCAATGCAGAGGCTAACCATTTTTATCCCATATTTTTCTCTGATCCTCTATGATCAGAGGCCACATTCTAATAGGCAATGGAGCTGATCAAAAATGGTAAGATGAACTAAATAATTAAATAATTTCAATAATTATGAGATAAGAAATTGTTCCAAAACTTATATGATAACTAAAAACGGGGGCGCAAAGAGAAACCTTGTTAAACCTTGAAAAAATGGAGAAGAATTGAAAAACTCACAGCAAATGAAAATAATGCAGAGAATAGCGAAAATTCCCACAAATATTTGGGCAAATAAAAAAAATCGCTTTTCTTGGATAATGTAATTTCATCCTTTTCGTCGAATTTTTTAACCAGTGATGGTTCGTACTGACAATTCAAATACTCTCTTCCAGCAAATTGAACATTTTTAGATAATAAACTAGAGTTAAACGCATTAAGTAACTTATATAATTTGTATAACTTTTCTCTTCATGTTGAAAACATGTCGAAAATGAAAAACAATAATTGAATGCTATGAATGAGGCATTCAAATTCAAATTCAAATTAAGCTACCGTTGTACCATAGATTTGGCTTATTTCTCAGATTAACATTTCCAACTATAAAGTTTTGAAACTGCGACAAGAATCAAAAAATCTTTAAAAAATCCGGATAGTGCTGGGAATCTATCTGATTTTTTATCTCCCGAATGACAGCAAAAATTTTTAATCACAACCAATCCAATTTTAATGAAATAAGCGCATACCTAATGTTTTACCTTCATATTTGGGTTCTTTTTATTTACAGTGAAAAAATTTTATTATTATAATTAATTTAAATTCCTTCACTCATAATTCCATTAAATTTCATTATTCGAAAGTGCAAAGAAAAATATTCACATAAAATTCTTAAATGATCATGCGCAATAGATCCGATCTGAATGGTTGCTGAGGACCCACTCTATTTATTTATTAAATGGAAGTTCAAAAGATACCCTTTCACAGATGCAAGAATTGTCATATAACCAGGAACGAAAGCAATAACTTTTTCCTTTAATATAGCATCAGCAATATCGCGAGCACATCGCCTTACCGACATAAACGGTAACCATCTGAAATATATGAAAATTTCATTTATCGTCATATATATCATTGAATGACAATTAATATGAATTAATTAATTCTAATCGATTTATTTAAGTTTAATTCCTTGTCGATGATATTTCGATGATATTCGATGCAAATTGCAATTTATCATCACAAAAATCTCCGGAGAAATATACTATGGTTATAGAAAAAAAAATGATAGATTTCGGAATGACAATCGTGTAGAAAATAAATAGAAAAAAAGTATTTAGAAATTCACTCAATTAATTTTAAAATGGAGAAAATTAAAAATAGACGAAAAATCCTTTAAATTATATCGAAATCAAGATTATTACGCAGATAAAGTGGACACGAATACTGAGGATCCATTCTATATATTTCTTCTTCTTCTTCTTCCAACAGCTCTCGCTATTGCTGGTTAGGTTGGCTGCGCTGGCTACAAGAGTAAGATACGTATCCAAGCTCCTCGGTCCGACACCATCGCTAGTAGTAATAGAAACCATACCTTTTGAATCTCAGGTGGTATTTGAGCGAAGGTGGATACAGTCATGTGCGGTGGATCATGTGCGATTTTATTTACTCGAGATCCATAATAAAATGTATCTTAATCATGAGTGGTCAAAGATTCATAGTTTCTTAATATCTTCCACTTTCATTAGACATATTTCGCCATATAGCAAGATCGAGCGAATTACAGCTATATGAACGCGGATTTTCGTCTCTATATTGATTTCGCGACGATTCCATAAAGATTTCATCAATTGGAAAAACACAATTCTAGCTGCCGTTATTCGGGCTACGATTTCATCTTTTGCCCGGCCATTTGGGAATAGAGTGGATCCAAGATACTTAAAGTCCAGCATTTCCTCAAGCGGCAATGAATTGATGAAAATGGGTATTTTATCACCATCTTGTATATAAATCAATGTAAATAAAATATTTTCATTTTATTTACATTGATTTTAAGTCCAATTCTCGTTGCAGTTGTTGATACATTTTTTAACTTTATTTTCATTTCCTCATAACTCAGCAAAAATTACGTCATCAGCGTATTCAAGGTGTGTGGTACTATGCTCTGGACTGATTTGGACAAGTGTCGACAAGCGATGTCCATTACCCAGTCTATCGTATAGTTGAATACTGTAGGAGAAAAGACGCAATCTTGACGAACATCAGTTTTTATTTCGAAGAAGTCTGCCAACTCCCCATATATACAGAGTGCTCTGCCAGGGTATGCTGATAAAATGCCTTTATGAGTCGAATGGTCCTCTCTGGGACTCCACCACATACCATCACTTTCCAGAGCTCTGCTCTATCAATCGAATGGAAAGCAGCTACAAAATCGATAAAGCAAGTGACGGTGGGTTGCTGGTATTTGAAGCGATGTTCTCAGCACCCTTCTTGACGTAAATATCTGGTCAGCATAACGGAGTCCCGGTCTGAATCCAGCTTGGTTAGGACGCATTCTGCTATCTCATGAGTCTATTTAGCAGAACAGAAGCGAAAAATTTTCCGGGGATGTCCAGTAGGTTGATTCCTCGGTAATTGTAGCGGTATCACCTTTTCTTTTTCCTATCACTTTTTTTAGAAACTGGACGCAGACTTTGCTCCAGTCTTCTGGTATTATATCTTTTCGCCATACCAGAGAATACATTTGTTGAAGGTGAGTTATGAACATGATGGACAACATTTGAACAACATTTGAAGAGTTCTATCCGAAGACCACTTTCTCCTGGAATTTTATTGAACTTAAGTTTAGTATTACAGAGATTATTTCCTCTTATTTCCTCTTCTGTTGGCGGTTCACAATTGCAAACGTAAAGCTCGACGGGCAAATCAGTTATGTTCGGGACAATAGATGGTGCATCCTGGTTAAGTTTGGCCTCAAAAAAATTCTTTCCATCCTCTAAGTCGATTCTTGACAGTTTTAATAGGCACCCCATTAATATCCCATGCCATTTCACTGACTCCTTCTCGAATTATAATTGCTTTGCGGGGAAGGCGAAACAGTTTCCCTATCATCACCTGTCCGAGTCGTCGTCTCCATTCTGAAGGCCATATCGATCCAATAGCGATTTCTATCCCGCCATGCTACTGTAAATTTAATTCTTCGAAACACCCAATAGTCAGGATCTCTTGAAATTCGGGCGTTGGTACATTTTTCAGAAAGTTGGACAGCTCCTTCCGACAGCCAATTAGCACACTTCCTACTACTATATCCTAGTGTGGATGTGGCTGAGTGGCTTTGTAAGCATGTCTTTAGTTGGAACCAGTATTCATTCGCGTTCCAGAGATGTCATTGACGTTCATTTCACTAAGGTGTTTCAATGATGCGGTTTGAAATGCGCTTATCGTTCCCGGATTTTTTAATTTGAGATAATTGAAAGATCTTGGGGTTGTTTCTTACGACTTGACATTTTTATACGAATCTTGGCTTGAACCATGAAATGATCTGATCCATGGCGGTTACCAGTTTTAGCGCTCCGATAAGAACGACTATCAGAACTCTTCCAGTGGTGATTGACAAATATATAATCAATTTGATTGGAATACTGGTTGTTCGGAGAGTTTTAATTTCCTCCGAGGCCGAAAGCATGTATTAGTAACAAAGATGCTTTTCATCATGCTTTTCATGCTCTTCAACAGAATGAAGTAGGCATTCTCCATTGGCGCATTGGGCCCTGATGCCATATTTACCAATCACCGAGTTCATTGAAACGGCATCATGACCCACGCCCGCATTCCAGTCTCCCCCGAGTGTGACCATGTCACCTCTCGGTAGGGATACTGTTAACAGTTGAAGTACAGCATAGAACTTATCCTTATCGTGGTCATCTGCGCATAAATTTGGAGCATATACACTGATAACTGAAATATCGCAGAACTTTCCTTTGAAACATGCGTAGGCCATACGGTCATTTACTGGTTTCCATTCAATCAGAATAGACCGAGCCTTTTCAGACATGACAACCGCTACGCCATTCCGCCCCGAGTTAACGAGACACCACTATGATATAGCCAATATCTCTGTTCTGAACCAGGTTTAATATTTGCTCGGAAGTCAACATAAGGAAGACAGATCTCCGACAAACAAGCCACATCCACGCGGTATTTGGAGAGAGTGTGTATAGTGATCGCTTGGCTTGTGATATCCATAAGGCCTGGCGTTCCAAACAGCTATAGCCAACACCTCATCGCGCTTACAAAGTGCTAAGGGATAGATTCCCGACTCCCTTGATGGATTTTGAGTTCTTATTTCGGTTCGCCAGCAAATTCTATTTTATGTTTATGCCTTGGACTTATATTATTATTATTACTATAGCGCCCGTATTGTACATTCATCGCATGCACCACCGGATCAGAAGTAGCATGCGCGTCGCGTCAAGGAGACCTGACTTTTTCGCCATAGAGTCACTTGGGGATAAAGATACAGGTGGGTCCCTAGCAGCCACCCGGATTTTTGACATCATGACAGGTTTACTCCTGTCAAAGACAAAGGAAAAAGATAATTAAATTAAATTTAAAGGTAAATTTAGAGATAATTTAATAGAAGGAAAAAAAATTAAAAAAAAATAACATATATTATATACATTTATATTTATTCTATATATTTACCTCCTTTGGGATTATTATTATCATAAATAAACATAATTCAATGATTAATCAAAAATTAAATGGAATAGAACATTAGAATCACATCGTTTTCAATATTTCTATGACCTAAATTAATAAAATTAATTGATAATCCTTTTGATTGATACATCCTTGGTGTATTCGTTTATTTCTAACTGGTTCAACTTTTTGCCTCCGATTTTTATGAGACCTGAGTTAGTTTCTTCTTTTTCATGACCAAATGACTTGTGGCTTTGGTCCATTTTTTAGAACTATTCAAATCCATTTACAATTAGCCTATACACAATAAATCCATGCACAATAAAACTATAGATAAAAATGGAGAATGACAATATACAAAAAAATAAGTAAATGCAAACGCCAGAAAACATTGGAATAAAACATTAAAACTACGATAATAACACTCATTTGTCATTCATGGATATATTTTTTTCTAAGAACTCCACCAGCTCCACTTCACTGGCTTATTGGATCAGATAAATTTCATCAGATAAATCACTTAGCGAATAGAAGTGCAGATGAGTCCAGCATCAACCATCATGAATATAACAGCTCATAATAAATAAATGCATCTTTGGCTAGCAATAAATATTAAAAATGATAGTAAAATTTCAGAAAAAATTAAGTTACAAATGATTTTCAAAACTAAAATCTTTTCCAATCTTTTTCCCTGTTCTAATTTCGTTAATTTTTGCTCGAAAGCAGAAAAATTTGGTATTTAGTTTAGTATTTAGTTTAGTTAAAGTATTTTCCCAATTGTTAAAAAATATTTCCTAATAATTTTTAATTAAAAAAGACAAATATTACAAATTTGAAATTTTGTTAAGAAAAATCTACGCAAAATATACACCTCTTTTCAATATGGATCTTCTAAAAATTATAGTAAAATAGTGATTAAGCCAGGTTATTCTCTAATTAATATTGGATTTTTAAGTAAAATATTCGGATGTAACACTGGAAGAAAGGAAAAAAAGGAATGTTCTAGATTTCAAATTCACTTCGAAATTGTTGTAAGAGCTAAACGTTAAAATTTTTATCAAAAAACAAACGAACATTGATGTGGGCCGCATTCCCAAATTTAAAATCATTGGCGTTCGTGTGAAATATGGGCAAACGGTTGTAAAAGCTATATCAAGTTTACGATCCTTTGCCTCCATTTGTAAGCATTCTATGATTCCACGAATTGCAAATTTTGTCGGACTAGAAATTTCAAAAAATTTTCATTATTTGTCACTAGATTAATAAAATTAATGGAATTGAGTGATTTCTAGAGCAATAAATAAACAATTTTAAAAACTCTATGATTTTCCAGCTTTAACTTCATATTTTTCATCTCAATAGACTTGACCAAAGGAAAATTAAGTTGAGTTCATTTTAAGCTCATGAAGAAATGCAATAGATTAGTGAATGCTGTTCTTTGTCTTCTTAAGAGTCCTCACCATTACTGGTTAAACTCGCTCCACTGGCTTGTCGCATTGAGCAATATGCCAGGAAGTCCCTTGGCGATAGAAGTACAGGTGAGTCGCCAGCATCACCCGGATTTCTATACAGGTTTGCTCCTGTGGGGAATCGAAGTGAATGCTGTATGACAAGATTAACAGGTTTGATTAAGAGAAAATAACTGAGAAAACTGAAGACAAAAATTAACTTGTCGAAAAAGCTATTTATTATGTATCGCAATTAGAACTGAAAGGCTCTTGATACACCATATGAAAATCTCGAATAATCAACATCAGTAACAATTTCCATGCTTTCCATTTATTTTTCGCCTGACATAGGACCATCAAATTCCAACTTCTGATCAAGCAAATAGTGAAAATTTTTATCAAAACTTTAAATGGACTTTAATATCTTACCACTTACCAATATGCAACACCATACGATTCACCATAATAGCCAGCTATAGATGAAATTGCAACAATATGACCGCTATTCCTCGATTCCATTTGTGGTAAAAAAGCTCGAATAGTCTGAATTTTTTCAGGACGATTTTTGAAATATGTTTCATCTTTTTAATTTTTACTTTTAAAAATTCGATGTTCTTACAGGTCATTTACAAGTAATAGTTATAGTTAAAGATAACGAAGGGATTGAGTGGTGCTACGGAGTTTGTTAAGTTCAAATATTTCTTCGGTCAAAATACTAATGTGTGAATAGCTAGGTGATTCAACAACGAATTTTCTTAAAAATTTTTTGAAAAATATGAGATTAAAATTTTTATATTAAAAATTTTTCTGAGCAAATTTTCCCCAAATTCTTGTCACAAAACTGAAATCAAAACAATTTGAAAAACCAAATTTAAAGATTAATGGGATTAAAAATTGATGAATAGTTTTTTCAAATCTTCTTCTTTGGTTTTTTGTGAACATCAAATTCGACTAATAATAGAAAATTACAAATTTTCGATTCTACAGATTCAATAAAATTTTTTTTAGAATCTAAATCCACGTCCCGCACGTAAAATCAAGGAACTTGGTCTCTCTTATATTCCAAAAAAGTCAATGAAAATTCATTGCAAGAAATCAATGTCTAACAAATTATTATTTGATTTAATTACAACTTTTAATTTTAATGTGGTTTAATTAATACATATTAAATTTTAATGAAGGTTTATAACTTAATTTTAACAAAAAATCTTAAAAAATGTGGAAAAATTTAGAAAAATTCATATTGATTAACATTAATTGTTCCAAGTATATTGATATTGACAGATTTCTGCAACTGCGAATTGGTCAATTCATGTAAAAGTCCGAAGAATAAAACGGCAGCATTGCATACAACAATATCCACTTTACCTAGGTCATCAAATCGTAAAATATCCAACTAAATTTACCATCAAAATTTTTAAATCTATTAAATCGATAATTGAATCGGATCAACTACTAGACTAATGGATTAATAAATTAAAGAACCAATTTAACTAATAACTAATAATTTAAAAAAAAATTAAAAAATTAAGGGATTCGAATCCAAATTCAATATCTTATTTCCTGAATCAACTAGTAATAAGACAAACAATTTGAAAACTCTAAAATTTTATTCTACAAGACCCTCTCAAAATTTGTAAATTCATCTAAATTCAGATTATTTTCAGCTCACCTTTCCCAGTTCAGTTAAAAATAATTCAAAACTTAATTAATAGTAGAATGGATTGTGGATTATTGCTCAATTCGGGATTCTTCTCCAAGCAGGAGTAAATCTCTTCAAAAGTCCGGGTGATGCTGGCGATTCACCCACATTTTATCGCCATGGGCCTCATTGGTGTAATTGTCTAATGCGACAAGGAAGTGAGTCTAATCAGTAATGGTAAGGGTCTTAAAAAAAAAATTGGAAGATTACCAAAAACTGTGAATATTTCTTTAGCGCATGACTGGATTTCATTTTCTTGACTAACATCGCATTTCCAAGCCATTGCATTTCCACATTTTTCTTTGATAATTTGGACGGTTTCTTGTGCATCATGCTAAAGAAATTTCACTAAAAAACAACGAATGCAAAAAAATTTTATATATTTAATATGACAAATATCAAAAATAAACTTTAAACTTTTTAATAAATTAATGATAAATTTAACGAAATTTTTTTTTCAAAATTTTTTGCCGGTTTACATGGTGAGTCTCGTTTATTAGTGATAAAGGCACTGAAGATGTCATAAATGAGAAAATAGGACTAAAGAAGTTAAGTAATAGATTAATTACTGATGAGGAATAAAAATATGCAAAGGGACGAAAAAAATAAGAAAACTTACAAAATTAATGTCAATAATTACAACATTCGCACCAAGATGAATACTGAAAAATTCAGCTAACGCACGACCAATTCCAGAAGCTGCTCCAGTTATAACAACCGTTTGACCTTTGACACATTTCTGACGTAAATTTAGCCAATTCCATAAATCTTTTGGTATTGCAACAAATAAAATATGCAAAATAACTCCAAATGTACTGCAAAAACGTTCAAATTTCGAAATCTTTGCCATTGATAGGAGAAGAGAAATTTGATAAAATTTTTTCGTGACAAATATTTACAGAAAATTTAAAAGATTTCGGTCAAGGCTCTCTTAAATTTTAAATGATTTACGCCCATTCGATTTGAATATAAATCCGAGAAGATTTTATTTACACGATTGTGTCATTCAAACTTAATGCTATGAGCGACATGAAAAATTTATATCAATTTAACTCTTAAAAATTTCTCTTATACTCTTCAAACAACACGCTATTTCTGGTTTTTTGGCTAGTTCCCCACCGATTGTTAGATTGGAACTTCCGCTAAATAATCTCCTTTTTCAAGAAAGGAATTTTAGAATTGCTCAGGCATTGTATGCATGATACTCGAACGTAATTGTATACCACTTGGCCAATCTCTCCATCAAAATTCAACTTTGACACGTTTTTTTAAAGGAAGAAATGCGAATTTAAACTTTTGCAAGTCTAATGAGTTAATAACATAATAGTATATGTAATAGTGACCGAGGAAAACGAGGAAACGCAACATGGAAATACTGAGTCTTGCAATTACAATGATAAACAGAAATAATTCTAATGAATTTAGATAAGCAATTACGATTTCCTTATTGCAAATTTATTTCAAACTTTTACCACTCCTTCCTTATTTAATATCTCTCTTTTCATTAAGCTAAGTTCTATAAAGAATTATTAGATCAAAAAATGATCCCAAATTCTATCCTAACCCTATAAGGGTTATAACTCCATAAAATTTCTGATAATCAGTGTGGACACTTCTGACTGTGATTATAACGTAGATTTCTAATATTGAAAACTCTATGTGGAAAATATTTTTGGTAATAATAATAATATTAATCGCATTTCTCAGGCCTGTACCAATCTAATTTATGCGGATAAATCCAGATTTCCATAGATTTAATAGATCTGAATTCTTAAATGGAAATACCTGTACAAATAATTATTAGCCCAAGTTATTATATTGAGAATCAACTGTTCTGCTCTTACCACCGACGGAAACAAAGAACAAAGTTATCATTAAAAAATCCAGGTCATGTCAACGACCTATCTATCCTTCTATCGCCAACAAACTCTGGCAAAAATTTTTAAACGTGCTAATAGCCAATAAACCAAGCCTAAACAGAATAGCACTGAGCATTTATCCCTTTTTTTCTATAAATAATTATTCTACGCATTTATAAGCATTCTGCATGATTTCGATGTATATTCTTAAAACATTTCAACTTCTTTAAAAAACCTCTCAAAGAAGCAAACAAAAGGAAGAAAAAATTTCACTTAATCCTTCCTATTCTAAAAAGGAACATTCATCTAAGGAAAACTTGAGGTATATTTCGACAGCATACATTGAAATAATATTCAGATCTTATTGCAATGAAATTACAGGTCAGAGGTCATAAATAATGAGGAAATGGGTCATAAGAATGTCATAAGAATATAAAAATTTGAAATTATAAGTATGTAATAGCAAAAGCGGTGATTAACAAATGATCATTTACATATATTAAAAACAGGCGATTTAAATATTTCTATAAACTGTTATTCTTGCTCCACAATGCTTATTTTCCTGAGGAAAGAAATTCTCGGCCAGGATGGTGCTAAGGAGTGCTTCTAGTTCTATTTCCGAATAAGTCCACAGCAGAAATTTCTATTCGTACTAACAACCAATAGGCCTAATCAGAAGTGGTAACTGAGATAAGTACTCAAAATCCCTCAAGGGAGGCGAGAACCTATCCGTTAACAGTTTGTAAGCGCTGTGAGGCGCGATGCTGGCTATAACTGTTTGGAACGTTAGAACGCTTATGGATGCAAGCCAAGCGATCATTGTCCACACTCTCTCCAAATACCGCGTAGATGTGGCCTGTTTGCCGGAGGTCCTTTTTCCTCATGTCAGCTCTCGAATAATTATTAAAGTTTCGAGCAAAGATATTGGCTATCACAGTGGTGTCTCGCATAACTCGGAGGAAAATAGCGTAGCGATTGCCATGTCTGAAAAGGCTCGATTCGTTCTGATTAAATGGAAGCCACTAAATGACCGTATGGCCTTGAGAATGGAGACGGCGAGTAGGTAATAAACTATTTCGCCTTTTCCGCAAAGCAACTATAATTCGAGAAGGGATCAATAATAATACGGCATATTAATGGGGTGCCTACTAAAGCCGTTAACGATCGCCTCAGAGAATCGAAAGAATTTTTTAAGGCCAAACTTGAGTACGATGCACCATCTGTTGTGACGAATATAATTGATTTGCCTGCCAAGCCTTACGTTGGTGAAGTGGTGAACCAATCAATTGAACATACAGGTGGACCAGCAATATATGGACCTTGTGTCAGCGGAGCCAGCCTAAACAATAATGCTAACGGCTGTTGGAAGGTAATAAGTAATAATAATAGCAACTTCTTTGGGGATTCCAATTTTATTGCTAATGGAAAACAATCTTCACAAATCTTTGATAACCGCGGAAAGTGTTTTTTGCTAACAATTAAGTCAAAAAAGTTTTTTGAAAGAGGCTGCTGATAATCTCTTCATTAATCTCTTCATTTTAATTCACAATATAACATTCGAAAATTTGATTAAAGAAATCCTGAAGGAATCGGTTAAGAAGGAGACTTTTTGTGGTTGGTCGATGGAAGAAAAAGGTTGTGGAACCTGGACAAATAAGATAAATAGACAATTAAAAGGTCAAAGTGGTAATGGTTGTTTCACCTGAGGATGTGTCTTCCCTCCGTTGAATGAGAATGAGATATACATCCTAGAGGAACGCTTCCATGTCACTGGTGCGCCAAACTGGAAATGGTGAGTGCTGATTTGAAAAGCTGCGAAAGCCATTTAATCCGTCGACTGATTACTTTTATTTATGCTTGTTAAGTTGAATATAGTTGCTTAATTCGTGCTTTCTGCCTGCCTGCCCTGTGCGTTATTGCACTCACTTCAAGCTCATTCTTTTCTTTCTTTCCGACAAATTTGGCTTATATTTCTAGAAAAAGATCGTTTTTTTAGGCTTTAAAAAATAAGGATGCCAGACGAACCAAGGGGAACCAAAGGTTTTCACTTTTGCAGGCGCGGGGATTCACATTCTCCATCCTCTGCGCATTCCAAAAACATCTGCAAAGAAGACGTACAGCAAAACTCTAATTAATATGAGCATCGCTCTCATTTCCTTAATTTTTCGCTGTGCTCCGATATTTCGGCATCGCCAATGAATCGAACGTGTTAGAATCACTAATTGTCGGACGCCTTATTGAGATAATTCGTTGATGAGTAGAAGATGAGTATTGGACATTAGATTAACTTGGCTTCATAGAAAGATAAATTTCTTTAATCATTTAATTAAAAAGAAAAGCAACTTCGTTAAAATCGAAATTTTTTCACAAAACGACGATGGAAATTCTTTTTCACCAACAGCATCGTCCGAGAAATAGAAATCTGCGGAAGGCCTAATTTTTGGCATTATTTATTGGAGTAGCACTTTCATTTTTGGTCTATTCTATCTTTTTTGTTCATTTATTAATTTTCGAAGGAAGTTTTTCCCCAAGGGTTCGGCACGTTTTCCGCTAGGATTCGGAGAGGATGTGGGAGTCTTTTACCAGGGCCTCAGGCGAATCGGCAGGCGAACTACTGATGGAGACATGAGCATTTACGAGAATCTCCTCACTTCTGTGAGGTCCTCGGCATTCCCTCAGGAAATTTCCTAATTCTAATTAATTCTAGGAAATAATGGGGAAGATTCATTATTCAAAACAATCGGATAATAGTACGAAATCGTGCAAGGCGAGAGGTTCGGATCTACGTGTCCACTTTAAAAATACCTATGAAACGGCTCAAGCAATAAAGCATATGCCGTTAAAAAGAGCAATTCGTTTCTTGGAAAATGTGAAGGAGAAAAAAGAAATCGTTCCATTCCGGAAATTTAATCACTGTGTTGGGCGCAAAGCACAAGCAAAAGCTTGGGGACATACGCAAGGAAGGTGGCCGAAGAAATCCGCTGTTTTCCTTTTGCAGTTACTTCGGTGATTTTTCTGATTTTCTTTCGATTTTGTTGGTTTCTTCACTTTTTTCTGTTTTTATTTTTATCACAAAATTTGTGCTGGAAACAAGGCAAAAGGCATCAAGTTTTTATTTTCACTTCACATTTATTTGATATCTATCAATTTCACCCAATGTTTCAGTAGTTCATTCGTAAATTATAATCACAGATGTGGAATTACCGAAATTTGCTCTTATAAGAGCGGTGGCTGATGCATCTTCGGGAAATTCCCGTTGTATTTCTCCTAATCAGCTATTAATTTTTTCTGGTATTTTTGGTGTTCTCGGTATTTCTTTTGTATTTTTAAATGTTTTAGGTTTAAAAAGGGAGGAAAATTAATTTATAAATGAAAATTAAGGAATGCAGAAAGCAACGCTGAATATAAGGGACTTGATACGGATCACCTGGTTATTGACCATATCCAGGTGCAGCGTGCACCAAAAATGCGGCGAAGAACTTATCGTGCCCACGGACGAATTAATCGTTAGTTTACGAAGAGGATTTTTAAGTATAGAAAATATTTTTTCGTGTAGGTGATTCCCAAAATTTATATGTATCAGTCACATTAAATTAAACCAAAGATGAAGAAATCGACCAGTAACCTTGCCTCGTTTATAAAAGACGTTATTGAACTTATAGTTCCCGTTATCCGAATTAAAATCTATGGTCAATCCTTATAATATTTTTCACTTCAAATATAAAAACTCGCCTATTCTAGCATATATGTCGTCGCCGTGTCACATTGAGGTAATTTTGGCAGAAAAATTAGAAATTGTCTCAAAACCATTTGATGATGTTGAGAAAGTGAAAAAAGAATCCAAAAAGAAACAAAAACGTATCTTAGCTCGTGGCGATTTTTAAATTTCAAACTGCTATTTTTGTTGATAAGTTTGAAAATCTAATAAATTGAGTAATTCGTTTCGCATTGCAAAATATATTTATCATACAGACAAGCCAAATTATCAAATCAGACAAAAGCTTGTGGATTTGTTTTTAATAAATAAATAAATTTTTAATAAATTTTTAATAAATTTAGTCGAATCAAGGACCGATCAATGGACGGTAGTACTTGCGGCGGCAGAACCAGTAGAAAGCGATTTTAAACTTGTAACTTCAGGTTTGAAATTTATAATAAATCGCATCATTACTGCAAGTCTGGCAAGGTTCAAACTGCAATTTCTTTGATTTGAGTTTTACATTAGGAGCTTGTTCCGATGGCTCATTTCTCTATAGCTAGAACGAGTCATACCGTGGTTATTACAAAATTTTCGGTTTCCCCATTTATCAGTTTAAAAAGCTTCTTCGAGGATCGAGCACATTGCTGTCAATTATAAATGCATCAAAAAATAAAATTAATTAATTAATGCGACGAAAATGCAATGCCTTTTATCTACTATTCTGCATTTAATACTTTACCATTTAAATACCATCATTTAATACTATTTAAATACCTGGCAAGCAGTTTAAACCAACAAGTTTTTTGGAAAAAAAAATATTCATTTTTATGTTTTCATATAATGTATATTTTTATATTTTCATATAATTTGCATAGCATCGCAGTGGAAAATCAAAAAAAAAATAAAGAAATAATAAATACATCTACGATAAAGCCTCCTCGCCTTAGCGCAACTGATGCATTAACAAAGATGGAAGTTTTTTTTAAAAGTTAATGATAATTTGAACAAATATCCCGATTCACTTCAGTCAACCATTGTATAATAATATAACAAACATTACATCGTTAATTCCATAATTGCATTGACTATGTCATTATCGGCTTTCTTTAAAGCTTTAATGGCTCTGTTACGGGTTACGTTCGCTTGAGAACAAACCTAAAACAATTTAATGAAATATAAAAAGAAAGAGAAATTGGCAATGAGATATGCAACGAATGGCATTGAAAAGTATTACCAGTTCGATATCTTTTTCTTCGATCCCTGTTGCATCCAAATCGCCTTCACCCTCACTTTCTTCTTCAGGTTCAGCATGTGCAACATCGACCCGGCCACCTTGTGCAGCTGCAGGTGTGTCACTCGGTTTCAGACGTTCCGCAGCAGTGAACCGTGCATGCTCACTAAGATCTTCAATCTACGAAAACAAATTTTATAAACTATAGAAAAAGAAAAATATGTTCACAACATAGACGAACTTTTGTAAATATTATTTTCTAGCAAAAATTTTTTTAAAACCTGCAGAAATAAAGCTATACATTATTCGAAACTATTATTAATGATTCAAATAAATGAATGACTGAAATCAATACCTTCGCTTCACCAAAAACTATATAAGTATCAGAGCCAGGACTTTTGTAAACATCGGGTTTGTTGATTACGAAGAGAATATTTTTTGATTTACGTATACATACGCGAGAAACACCGCTAACTGATTTTAATCCAAGTTTGCTGAATAGTTTGCGAGCTTTTTTTTCTGAACGAGACTGTTTGGTGACTTTATCACCTGTCACCTGCAAAACAACAAAACATCAATCAAAGAATCAAAAATTCATCCATGTTATTCAGACGAATATAATTTTGCAAAAAATCACTTTTCCCGATTCTTTGCACCAATTTTAAACAAATCAACATTTTTCTTTGCTGCTTTAAAAGTTCATAGCTATTTTTTCTGATTCAATTTTGGCGCTACAGTTGATTTTCTCAAATCATACCACATCAACGAAAAAACGATTTCCTAAAAACGTACGGGATAAGTATTCGTCAAAACTTTATAAACAAATTTCAAGGGAGAAGCGACTTTTATAAAAATTATTCTAAACATGGCTAAATATGAGTAAACCATCGACACTAATATCTTCTTCCTTTAACAATCCTCATCAATACTGGTTAGACTGGCTCCGATACAAAAGTAAGATGTTTCCAAGATACGCGATCTAATGCCATCGTCAACAGTAATAGAAGCCATTCTTTTTTCAGTCTATGTCCATATGTACTTGGCCCATCTATACATTCAAAATCTTTTCTGACTGTGCCGATCCAGGTTCTGATTGGTCCTCCTCGTTTTTGACGCCGGTGAGGAAGAACATACTCCAACCAGCAAAGGTCATGCTCCATGATGGTAATATCAATGCATGGTATCTGAGCGGATGTGGATGCAATCATGTGAGATTTTATCACTTAGGTGTGAAATATATTTTAGACATAAGTGGTCAAAGGCAAACAGTTTCTTAATTTCCTCCACTCTTACTGGCAATGTCTCGCAAAATCGAATTACAGCTATATAGACATTTTCGTTCTTAAAGTAATTTCGCGACTGTTTCACAAAGACTTCGTCAATCAGAAGAACACATCCGGGTTATAACCTCGCTTTTTGCTTAGCCACTTGCGATTAGAGTGGATCCATTTAAAGTTTGACATATCCTCAACAGACAAAAAATTGATAGAAATAGGTATTTTATCATCTTTTTGTACATATTACGAGAAGACTTTCGTTTTTTTGCATTTATCCTGGGTCTAATTCTCGTTGCAGTTACTGATACTTTGTTTAATATTATTTATATTCCATCATAACTGCCATTAAAAAAGACTACATCATCAACATATTTAAGATTCGATATTATGCTCTGGACTAATTTGTATACCTCTTGAGGCCGACAAGCAATATTCCTTATCCAGTATATCGCACAACTGAATAATTAAATATTGCAAAGGAAATCATGCAATCTTGATGGACACCAGTTTTTTTCCGAAAGAGTTCCCTATATACACCTGTCCAACGTATGCTGATAAAATGCCTTTATGAGTCGAATGATCTTCTCTGAAAACCGTCATATTCCATCACTCTCCAAAGCGCCATTCTATGATTGAACTAAATGCAGCTGCAAGTCGATTAAACCAGGGTGGGTTGCAGATTTTCTAATACCTTTGAAGCAATATTCCAACACTTTTCTAAATGTGAATTTATCTGGTAATATCTGGTCAACACAACTGCGTACCGATCTAAATCCAGCTTGACGCATCCCGCTGTCTCGTACTCACACAAGTCTACTTAACAAAAAGGAGGCAAAAATTTCCCCGGAGTCTTTTGGTAGGCTGATTCCTCGGCAATTGTCACTTTTCTTGATTGGGATCTTTTGCTCCTAACTAGAGTGTTTCCTACTAGTATATCCTATTTTAGAAGTGACTGCTTTCGAGAAAAATGCCTTTAGTTGGGACCAGAATTCACCATTCCAGAGATGTTGGCGAAATTGATATCATTGATTTGTTTAATAATAACATAGTTTGAAATTCTCCTTCCTCTTATTTTCTCGAATTTTTTAATTTTCGATAATTGGAAGATCTTGAAAGATATTCTGTTTTATGAATTATTAGTTTTATGGACCTTAGCTCGAAACATAACATGATCAGATCCATGGGGACCATCCAATGCGAAACTCTTCGAACAGCGACTGATAAAATCAAATTGATTGGAATGTTGGTTATTCGAAGAGTTCCAAATGACTAAACGTCTCCTACGACGCCGGAAGCATGCATTAGTAAAAAAATTCATGCTTTTCGTGCAAAGCGAATAAGATATTCTCCATCCGATTCTGATGTCATTTGTCAATTATCTCTTATATCTCATTCTGAGCCAGGCACAGCCAACAGAAGATTATACATACATATTTGCAAGTTTCTCGTTCCTTTTTTATCTTTCTTTCTTTTCATCAAAACAATCTTTCTTTTCTGTAAGGGTCTATAAAAACGATAAGAAATATTTCACAGTGGAGGAATGGGCACTTACAAACAATTTCGCAATAACTGCAGAAAAAATAAAACGAAAAGCGACACCTGCTCAGCAAGTCCGGCTGCTTCAGCAACTTTCTTTTGTTCCTCAGTAACTTCGCCTTCACCACCTTCTAATTCAGGCATTTCATCATCTGACGAATTCGATGTCACCTCATCGTTATGGTTCTGCTAAAATAAAAATAAATAAAATTGCAATAAAATTGATTTGTTCATTAAATTTTTTCTAAAATAAATGATGTAAAACAGAATTGTACAATTGTTTCCAAAATCAATAAATCAAAAATTTTAAAATTTTAAAATTTTAAAATTTTGAAAAAATTTTATTTAATTGGAAGAATTTAATTTTAAATAAATTTTAGAACAAAAAATAAAAGAAAAAATACTTTGTTTTCATTGCCATTTCTTTCCACTTTGCTTTCAGTCATCTTTCATTAATTATCAAAACTGCAAAAAAAAATAAAGTACAAAATAAAGTAAAAATTTTACGAATTATCACTCCATATTCGAACTTCTAAAAAACAAATCAGTTACATGATTAAAGCCCTATAACACTCCTCCTACTCCCCCCCCCCCCCCCCCCCCCCCCCCCTCCCCTCCGCATCCACACGTTTACGTGACCTTACCAATCTTATTACTTTCGGACAAAATCAATATGATGGATTCCACCGAATGATTCCCAAAAAGCATAATTCAGACGCTCGATATTTTGATTAAAATTCGTCACTTCTGGTAAGCAAAAAATTGAGGTGAGTGCACTTTAAGAGCGGGCAGAATTCTTATCGAAAGCTGTAAACTTAATGCTACTTCGAAACGTACATTGTTTCACCAAATCAGGATTATTCTCGCTTAACATCTCTCTTCCCAGTGCTGCCTCAGGCCACGTTCTACGATTCTATAACCTATAGCTAAATTGAGAATTTACGTTTAGTGGACTGCAGCTGGGTCTGAGATTAAAGTGGCAAGAAAAGATTAGGTTATCAAGCGATGAAATGTATAAACAATACGATGAGGTTCCAGGATTCTAAGGGATTGTTTAATTAGGTTAAGGCTGCACTTGGTAGCTGGGCTGCGTACCCTTCAGATGCTACACTTACACTACACTTCAAGTCGCACTTTTAAAAGCAAAACTTCAGATGTCTTCTATTGTTTCACTTCGCCCTTTCATATGTCCTTTGGCTTGTAATTCAGAAAAAAATTTTGGGAAAGGCTGAAAAAAACTATTTATTTTTTCTTCAATAAAAGATTAGGTATAAGAGCACGAACGGTTATTGACGATTCTGAATTGAGAAGAACCGCTTATTTTCCATTACACGTTTCAAATTTTTTGTGGGATTGTGGACCTCTAACTGCACTAAATGCAAGGTCAACGCTTAGCATTATTCTCGTTCTTCTGGCTGTTAGCACGATTAGAAATTTTCAGCCACTTGGTGATAGAAGTATGCTGCCTTATAGCCAACAAATGATAATGTAGCAACTATGAGATAAAGTACCCTTAAATTTTATTATAAAGTTCGAACAGCCGCGAGAACAACGCCAGCAATAACAACTAAAGCAAGTACTATCAGTGCAAGCACTAAAGTTAATATTTTTCGTCTCGTGCTATGATTGTTCCTTTGCCAATATAATCTCCGTTGTGCTATTATTTCTTTTCTCGGATGAATACCATCCCCGTGGCGACAATTATTTGCGGATTTCGATAATCTGAAAATAAAGCTCTTCAGTTGAAGAAGCAGTTTCTTTTATTTTATTTCTCACTTCCTTAATAATATGATTTTATTTATTCCTTTTTTTAACAAACTTTTTAATAAATTTTGAAATGGCGAAGAATTAATTTTGATTGATAACTGATAAAAAAATGCAAATTTATCTCTAGAAAGATTTAGAAAAACTTATTTTTATTAATTTTTTTCGAATGATCCATATTACCGTAAAGGAAAAGTGACCAACATTTTTTAAAAAAACTGAACTCGAAATAATTGAATTCAATCAAAAGTACCTTGTTTTCCCATATATGATTGAGGGACCTGTCCATCTGAGAGCAGGATTAACAGCAAACTGCAATATTAATTGCAATTAATTAATAATTGATAAGCTGATTTATTTGACTGTAAGCAACTGATAATCGGATTGATTTAAAATAACGCATCTAATGGATGAAATCTTTAAAAAAAGCTAGAAATTTTGAAAGTATTCAATTGCATTCGTTTTAAATTTTAATAATTTATCAATGGAAAATGGAAATCTCGTTGCAAAGAGGCTTCGCGATAAATACATTTGCGGTTGATAATGCGTTGTAAGTGAGCCCATTTGCTGGATAATAGTTATATTGGCCATTAATATAAAATATCCTATCATTTCTTTTTATTTTTTTCGCCCTCCTTCTCGGAAATATGGAGCCACGCATAAGCAATGAACATGACAGAGGTGATTCAAAAGCATGTTGACGACGAATAGCGGAAATCTCTATTCCACTTTTGAGACAAACCTGTAATTTTTTCGAAAAAATTCATAAATTGTTATAAATTTGATTATAAAAAAGCCACAAAAAAAACAAAGTGCTAGAGGATGATAAAATTTTTGATATTTCGACCTAGTGATTATTTTAATAAACAAACTCTTGAGCTGAGAAATTAATATTGGACAACAAATTTTCTCTCTATAAGGCCATAATAATCTTGGAAAGTACCTTGGAAAATATTTCATAAAGTCTCTGTTTTCTCCGAAATCCATAAATATGGTTCGATACTCTCAAGGATTGTCAAAATGCATGCAAAGGTTTAAAGAAAATTCCTCCCAGTTGTGGGAAAAATCAGTATTGCATTAGTAAAAGATAATGTTTGATAATGTTTGTGGTATTGACTATACTGTTTTCTTCTTCTCATTTC